CATTTATCAAAAACAAAAATTAAATTTCAAGAGGGAGTGTTTAGTTAAACTAGCAAACATAAAAAGGGAACTATGCTACTCGAGCGTAAGTATGAGTGTCGAATACATGTATTATTATTTTTTTAAAGTTATTTCTATGCATTTAGAAGATCTTTGGAGGTCATATCCACATATCTTATGTCCGACACAAAATGTCAATCCGATACTTCAAATGAAAAGAAGAATCCAAACAACATAGAAGCAGGAAAAAGACGGGAAAAGTTGTGTTAGTGAAACATTAAGTACCAATGCAAAGGACATACCCAGATATTTAAAGCCTCTTCACTAATGAAAAGTCCACAACCAGCAGCCATAAGCAACTAAAAGTAAATCCATTTGAAACATGGCAATTAGGTAAAAACTTGGAACCATTCTAGTTAGCGAATGAAATACATATGTGGGAACTGGGAAGCAGAGGCACCTCCTTGACTCTCATTTTTTTTAAACAAAAGAATCCCAAACATAATATAACCTTCCAAAACTCCTCGAAATATATACTATTGTAGGGTCATTCAGACCTAGATCGCTTGGACTCGGAAGTGAGTAATGGATACAGGATTCTTTTTGAGGTTTGTTCATATCAGACAATGATACTTCAAGTCAAGTGAAACAAGATATGTCTGTAACATTTCAACAAGCATAAAAAACATATATCACAAGACAATCAAAGTTCAACATTTTTGAACCAAAATACATAATCCATCAAAACCCAAAAATCAAAAAGAGATCAAGAACTAGCATAAGAGTCCACTGAAGTAAAAAAAAACCGAAATAACCCACTTAAACAACCTATGAAATGAACAAATCAGTAGCGATTAAACAAATAATAGAAAATAAAACAAGCATGCATGCAACAAATCTCGATTCAAAAAAACATATATGAAGTAAAAGCATCAAACCCATTAAATCAGACAAAATAGAAATCAACAAATCCATAAATGTTGGAATAGAGAACGAGGATTACCTGTGAAAACCCTTGATTTTTGACTCCCTCGACTGCGTTGTGGTGAATGGTCAAACCGGTACTGGAGGTTACAAAGACAAAAAGGGAAAACATAGAAAAATAGGGGAAGCACGGCGTGAACTTTTGTTAACCAGGGGGAAGCAGAAGTGGGAAATTAAGGATGAAAAATAAGGGGCGGAATTAGAATACGAATCCTAAAGATGACACACAAAATTCTTCTGTACTCCGTGTTTTTCTAAATTTTTTGGATTATGACTATTAAATATGACACACATTATTGTAAGTCATAAATCGTTCAGATTTTAAAAAACATGACATTTTTTTTATAACACATGTTTTGCAAGTCATAAATTAGCGTGTGTCATCGTTCGTGTGTCATTAAAGGTATATTTTCTTGTAGTGTGTCCATGCATGCATTATGGTGAGATGACCAAGATTGGTGAATGGTGGTATATCAGTAAGAGGATGGTGTATGGATGAAATGGTGGTTATTCGAGGTGAAAACGGTGACGACATATTACCATCTATTATTTAGTTTATGTTTTGATCACTCAACTATTATTTTTTTAAAATCATACATAACATTAAGTTTTGGTTTTGTTTTGATTATATATCATTAAAAAATTAACAATGATGTTAACATGATATTTTTAATTATTTTTCAATCCTTATGTGACATTATCATATGATGACATATCAACATCACCACTAATTTTTTAAAGACGATGGACTAAAACAAAACCAAAACGTAACATTAAATGTAATTTTAGGTTGTAACTCACTTTATTGTTATTCGGGTTGACCCATGTCTATAATAAAATTGGTCGAGTTCTAGTGAACTCCGTCTATCCGTTCTATCACCATTCAACTTTGTTCCTTTGATATAGTATTTCATTGTATTCGTATATTATGAGATGATATTTTATTATATATATTTGTAGAATCTTCGGATAACACTGAACCTCTCCCTCACCTTGTTTCTTTCTTTTCTTTTAGACAGTTCGAGGTTATAAGATCGAGTTTGACGTCTAGAGGACCAAAGACCAGTGGTGGATGCACTACGCCTCCATAGGGGCCAAGCACAACCTCATTATCTTGGAAAAGTGGCTAAATTTAATTTAATGTGTTAAGGGGGAAAATTACAATTTTTGCATACTCATTATTTTTAAGTAAAAAAATTAAAATTTTAGACTCCATTCTTAAATTTCTGGATTCGCTACTTCCAGATTCTTAGGTTTTTATAATGTTTATGCACTAAGCTTCCACTACGATTTTACTTGTCAAATTGTGGCAATGGTTTGTAAAATTGTTATTTGACATTTATAATCTTATTTACGAATTTACATGTTTATACAAACGATTTCATATTTGGTATAAACGAAAAAATTTATGAATTATTTTCACGTCATTTCGAAGAAAGTTGTAGTATCCGACATTTGGTCGTAAAGTCTAGTCTAGGTGTTGAATGTTACATAAATATTTGAAATTATAAGATATTATTCCCTTTGAAGACTTAGAGTTATTAACCCTTTTATAAAACAATTCATTTTCCATTCGGTTAATTTAAAATATTGTTAGACAAAATATTAATTCGAGATAATAATAATAATAATAATATATTATTGATCGAACGGAGTAAAATAAATACAAAATTGAAGTAGAGGAATGAAATGATTTACTTGTATATGTAGACATGTAATCAAACGAGTTGGGTCAGAAAACATAAGAATAAGTTTTTGTTGAGGCGTGTATGAACAGTTTCTTAAGACAAATTCGTCATCTTCTCGGTGCTTTGAGTGATGTTGGACGTCGATATCCCATGATACAACAACAAACGATCACAACAGTAAGCACAACCGTAGTGATCAGTCAAACACAATCTTGTCTTTCTCTATCATCGAAAAGAATGAATTTGAAAGGAATTTTCTAAGTGTTTTTCTATTCCAAAGTCCCAAGTTTTGTTGTGCTTAAGATTTGTGCCTCAACTAGCCTATACATAGGAGAGGAAATTGATTGAAGGGTGAAGACCTTTCGACGAAACGACTTAACCTTTTTATTAAAGAACTTAACATTTCTATTCAAGTGCTTAACCTTTTTATGAAAGAATTAATTTAATATTTTTATGAAGAGAATTGTTGAATAGGTATGCTTAAATGGATACAAATTTAAACAAAAAATTAAGTTTATTCACTAAGTGATATGACTTATTATTAATTAGTTATAAATAGCGTCGATTTATTCAATTATTTTTCAACCATCTAGAATTTTTCAATTTAAAAAAATTCTTTTTAATTTAAATACTTAATTAATATTCTTAATTCCAAAGTCATTATTTGTAATCATTTTCTAATTAAATCTTATTTTATTCAAAATTAATCTTAATTTCAAAATTATATTTCCTTGAAAACTATTTTTCATAAAACTGTAAAACTTTAAACCGAGTACTTGAATATTTGGACGTTACAACTTATATTTAGCTAAATTAATATTTAATTTAAATTGGTTAAAAGTTATTTTAATAATTTTATATTATAATTTAATGGAGTTTAAAATAAAATATTAAATTAATAATTTATTATTTTATTCAATACAGTTAAAAATTAAAATGAAAATTTAATAGATTTTACATAAATTCTGAAATAATAAAATCATCATAATTTTAAAATATTAGAATCAAATTATATATAATTATTTAATGAAACAAAATTAATTTTATCACAGTTCATAAATTTATATAAAAATTAATTCGAAACTATTTTAATTAATGAAATTTTGGATATTTAATAAAATAAAGGAAGCCCAAACTAGGGACCCAAAAATCAGGCGACGTCCCATAATCCATCTTACGGTATAGTATGCGATAAGTTGGTTGCTTCCTAAGCAAGTCCGCTAACTTTGCTTCCAAACAAAGTAATCATACTACTGGGGTTATTTAGAGTAAAAATAAGTGTTCAAACTATACATAAAATTAATTTTACGTATCTAAAGATTTTTTTGTTAAAATTAGGTGTCTAACGTTTTTAATGTTACACTTTTAGGTATCTAGACCGTTAATACTATTAAATTTGATCGTTAAGTGACACGTGTCAGACATATAAAATTTCAAAAAAATTAAATTTTTATAAGCTCGACATGTGTTACTTAAGGGTTGAATTTAACGACAGACACATAAAAGTGTAACATCAGAAATGTTAGACACATATTTTTAACGAAAAATTCTTTAGGCACCTAAATTAACTTTGGGCATAATCACTTACTTATTCCTGCATGAAGCCTTATTTAGAATTGTTGAATTTCTTGCACGGATTAAAGGTTTTTTTTTGTGTTTAAATTTTGAAAGTGCACACATGCCTAGCATCTAGAGGTGTGAGAATAACGGATAAGATCATTTTAATTGAAAACGTAGATTATAAGAAGTTTGAGTTAGTTAAAACGATCCAGACACTTAAAAAGATTTGTATCAACTTCATAATATCTCCACGACGTAGGATTCTGAAATATACAAGAATTAGATTTCAAATTATATTTAATTTTTATACATTACCTTTCATCTGTTTCTAAAGATAAATTTTTGAACTTTTGTTGTATCTCTTTTCTCAATTTTTTAAATCGAGATAATATTCAAGTACGCCGATAAACAAACCGAACCTTCAACAAACCGTTCGTGAATCATTCGGTGGAAAATTCGTTTATGTTTGTTTATTTATTAAATGAACGAATATGAACAATATTTTATGTTCATTTAAGTAAATAAACGAACACGAACAAAATGTTCGTTTGTTCATTTATGTTCGTGAACGTTCGCTAATCTGTTCGTTTATGTTTGTGAACGTTCGCTAATCTGTTCGTTTATATTCGTTCATTTATGTTCGTTTATGTTCGTTCATTTATATTCAATCGAATGTCCAGAACCATTTAAATATTAAGACCTAATAAATTTTAACCTTTGTAGACACCTAATTTTCGTCTTTTTATGAGTACCACAAATTATATTATATAATATAATTTTAATTATATTATATAGTATAATTTTATTTACATTCATATGTTTATTTTACACTTGCAAGTCCATTACATTCGGCCCGAACTTGTTACAAACATTTGCATATGGCCCAACCAAGACCCAAAAAGTGGGTGACCCAGCAATTGCACATGACCCGCTTAACACCCGAACCGTATCTAGTAGGGGGTCCAAACCTGAACCGGTCCAGCTAGGGTTTGAAACCCTAGCATTCTTTTCCCATTCCAGTGCCATTTTTGAAGACCCCTCAGCCAATCGCGTTTCTCGATCAATCCCGAACCGTCCAGCGAACGTGACTCCAACAAACGTGCAAACAACAAACAAACATGGTATTAGTGTTCTACTCGAGATTAAACTCTAAAAATACCCAAATCCGAGGCTATAAATTACTTGTAAACTAGAACACAAAAACTGAGAATATACCACAAGTTTACACAATATTACTACGAGATTACTAGCAAATAAAGAGGAGCAATCGAAAACCTTGTATCTTTTTCGAAAAGCGAAAAAATAAAATGTAGTTTCGTTTTACCTTTGTTATGGTTACTTTTCACTTTGCATGCTTCGACTTTGCTCTCTGATTTCTTTGATTAAAACCCAAACGTCGATGACCGAAAATGGGGGTGTTTGAAATCTCTTTTTTAGATCTACACCCCTACGAGGCATATTTTAAAAAACTATGATGATTTTCGTGACGAGGGTGTTATGGGCTTTCGGAAAAGCAATTTTTTTAAGGTTTCTCCGCCAGTGACAGGCGGTAGGCGCCGATCAAAGGCGGCCGGCAAGGCGGTATGTGGTTGTTTTCTGGGCTTGGGGGCTGTCGTGTTCTTCAGGATGAAGAACACGGTTGAATGTTGCAGAGGATTTGAGAGAGGTAAGGGCTTCAATCGATTTTGGGGAAGGGAAAATGAGTTAAGGTGTTTAAAAGTTGGTATTTATACCAACCAGTGGAGCATTTTGACCCGACCTGCACCACACAAGGATTCGCGTGTTTTTAAAAATAAATGGAGAAATCCCCATTTGGTCCCTCCTTTTTATAAAACATTTAATATTGACCCTAAATTCATCTTAATTCGGCCTTTAATTTTGATTCTCTTTTAATTCGGCCACTCAATTCGTTGTCCATTTCAATTTAGCCCTTGAGTTCATGTTTTACTTTTTATTTTCATTTTATTTATCTTTATTGTTTTTATATATTACGTTTTATTATTATTATATATGTTTTATTATTATTATTATATATTATATTATTATATATTATATATATATATATATATATAGATATATATATATATATATTGTTAACTGTTATTATTATTTTTCCTTCTTTTGTCTCGGTTTCCTTTTTTAATATTTTATTTTATCTATTTTTCTTTTTTGGTTTTTTTCATTTGTTTTCATTTCGTTTTAATTACATGTATATATATATATATTATTTTTTTCATACATATTATTATTTTTTCCTTTATTTATTTAATTTATTTTAATATTTAAATGTATATTATTTTTGCTTTTGGTTCAACCACCCTTGACCAAAGCATAAAAAGGAAATTCTTTGTACATACCCTGAAGACTCTATAATTCGGACACCTGTGTCGAAACGATTTTTTTATAAAGTGAAAAATTTTGAAAACCACACCAATTTTTAATTATTCTTTTCAAGATTGATTTTTAATTAAAAAATATGTGATTTAGAAAATCTCTCTCGTTTCGAAAATTTGGAAATTCTTTTACGATAAAAAAAACAAATACAGTTCGAGGAGTCGCCACCAATCTTTGATTAAGGTTGTGATTAGGCACCCAAAAACGTTGTCATTTTAAATAAAAATAAATTTTAATTATAACAACAAATAGTGGTCTACATTACCAGAAAATGAGTTCGGGAGTCAGTTACGCGTGAGAAATGATTAGCACCCCCACAATGCCCTAAATAGGTACCTAATCAATTAATTAATGTCTTTGCAACGAATTTTACAAGTTCAACTTTAATTTAATTTTTGATCCTTTAAAACAACAAAAATGTGAGTTTTATAACATTCAAAAGTAACGAAATAGGTTAAATTAAAATTACCAAGCCATTAGAAAGATAAAGAATATTTGATTATTTAAAAATATTGAGACTAAATCTTTATGTAAGCTCTAACGATCTTTCTCAACAAATTTAAATAGCCGAATATTTCTTTTCTTTCATTCCCAAATTTTAAAGTGATGAATCAATTTTTAGTTGTCACTAATGGGATACACTCTTAATTTAAAATCGACAAAGCGGATCTCTAATCAGTTAAGACAACCCACTTAAAATAATTTTAAATTAAAAGGGTATTACCCTTAATCCAATTATGTAATTTGGTTAAGTCATGTACATGAGGATATCATACAAACTCAGAGCTACTAATTAATAAAATGATACAAACATTTCAAAGCAAACTGTAAATAAAGAAAATAACATTAACGAGGTTAAAACCAATAAAGCTTAGGGTTCAATGAGAAATATATATTCTAATAATGTTCATGATGTTAATTTGTTTTAATAAAAGCAAAAATCATATCTATTACTTAGTATAAATATCCTTGGACTACGTCCACGTGAATGCTAATGATACACCGAACTGAACTTTCATCATTTTTTCTTTCATTTCAAAAGCCACATAATATTTAGTCATGAATGATAACGATATCCACATAATATTTACGTGTTAATATTTAAAACAACGAACATAAAACATGCAATACATTTCCATATATATAGATTGTATATGGTAAAGATTATGTCCAATATGGTAATAAATATACCACTACAAATATATAAATGTGCATGAAGAAGATGACAATATAATAATTGAAACAAAATATAAGAAGGTTAAAATTATGAACACAACAATATCAAATTCAGGACTGAAATACAAGACTAAAAACAAATTAAAGGACTTGAATGGAATACTACAAAAGTCAAAGGATTAGTCATAGAATTTACCCATCCCTTTGCAAAACACGGGTTGACTTGCAGGATGAAACACTGCCATTTTGTTATCAGCTGAAACGATGACGCATTGTTCATTGCAGATATACAAAATTTAGGGTGAAATTCTTACCTTATTTCACTCTAAACATCCCTCAGCGCCGTTTCTCACTTATCCCTCTCTACTCCTCTTCGGCCAAAACGAGGGCCAACGTTCTTTCGCCTTTTACCTTATTTGAAGAGAAGATGGAGACCATGGCCACCAACAACCAAGGCCTTGCTTTGAGTTGTCTGATGAAGGCTCTCTTTGGTGTCAGGACCTCCACGAACCAGGTTATACTCTGGTGACTCGCTGCCTTCCCTTTCAATCGAGACCCGAAGTAACCCTCACACCATTTGTTGGATATATACCCCTTCGATCGACACCACAAAAAATCCTTTCCCGACAAGGACTCAAAAGACAAAGCACCAACGAAACCCGACCCCCTTAGGTAAATAAATCTTCACTTAGACCCTTTACTCTCTGTGATGTTTCTTTTGCATGGAATAAAAAGATTGAAAATGGAATGATTTTCCTTCAATTAAGACGAAGAACCACTAAGCTTTTCCATTCCGATTGGCTCCGATGAAGATACACGCTTCGGCCAAGAGATAAACTGCTCTCTCTTTTTATTTTCTTGGTTCCAAATGCTTGCTTAGCTTAGTGTGAGTTTTTATGAAATAAAAATATAAAATGGAAATGGATTTCTGTTACTCGAAAGAAAAAAACATAAACTTCTTTGTATTGCTTGGGAAAAATTGGGGGAAGACCCCGATTACATTGTTTCTTCAGCTATTGGGAGCAGAACCTCCTTTCTTTTCGTGTCATTTTTTTTGCTCTCCCTTTTTTTTTTGCCAATGGTCCTCCGATTTTATCTCCATTTTTCTTCACCAAATTCCTTGTCATTTGTCTGTTAATTTCTTTCTGTTCGGTAATATAATGACATGTTTAGGTGAAATCATTTCCTGATTTTTGGGGTTAGGTGCATTTGGTTTTGATTTTCGGTAGTTTTTTAGTGGGTTATTAATTCTTTGTTGATTTTGTTTGCAGGTTTGGTGATGACAAAAAGATGGCTTGGCGTGAGTTGATGTGCGACGCTGGCAGCTTGCTTCACTGGATCGGGTCATTAGGCCGGGTCGAATCCTGAGTTTTGTAATGGACTCTAGGACTTGTTGTATTTGGCCTGCATGTAAATTAACAATAATTAATAATAATAATAATAATAATATGCTCCCTCTCTGGTTAAAAATGGGTGTCTACAGCTGTTCTTCTTTACACATTCTTATGTTAACAAGAATAGGACAAAGACGAAAAAGAAAACCAGTTTTTGTCCAGTTCCATCTCTGTGTTTTAAAACTTGATGAGGGATATGCTCTCTCTTCTTTGAACAATATTCGACCAGCGGGTTCGCTCTTTATTGCTTTAGGGAGTATAGAACTCGAGAAATCTTTTGAAAATGGGTTCGTTCCCTCTTTCTTCAGGGAGTATAGAACTAGAAAATCTTCTGCAAACGGGTTCGCTCCCTCTTTCTTCAGGGAGTAGAGAACTAGAAAATCTTCTGCAAACGGGTTCGCTCCCTCTTTCTTTAGGGAGTATGGATCTCGAACAACTTCAATAATCGTGTCTGCTCTCTATTCCTTCAGAGAGTATAAGACTCGAACAATCTTCAACAATCGTATCCGCTCCCTATTCCTTCAGAGAGTATAAGACTCGAACAATCTTCAACAATCGTGTCCTCTCCCTATTCCTTCAGAGAGTATAAGACTCGAACAATCTTTAACAATCGTGTCAGCTCCATATTCCTTCAGAGAGTATAAGACTCGAACAATCTTCAACAATCGTGTATGCTCCCTATTCCTTCAGAGAATATAAGACTCGAACAACCTTCAGCAATCGTGTCCGCTCCCTATTTTTTCAGAGAGTATAAGACTCGAACAATCTTCAACAATCGTGTCTGCTCCCTATTCCTTCAGAGAGTATAAGACTCGAACAATCTTCAACAATCGTGTCCGCTCCCTATTCCTTCAGAGAGTATAAGACTCGAACATCTTCTTCAAACGGGTTCGCTCCTTCTTTCTTTAAGGAGTATGGAACTCAAACAATCTTCTACAAACGGATTCGCTCCCTCTTTTTTAGAGATTATAGAACTCGAACATATTAATTTGCTTCACTATTTTCTTAAGTTTGATTTGCTTCGAAGATTAAACTGATGGGTTTGCTTCACTATTCTTCTGTGAAGGCTCAAGGTGGTGCTTCACTACTCTTAGGTGGAGGCTTACAAATTGATTTGCTTCACTCCTTTTTGGTGAAGGCTTAAGATGGTTTTGCTCCAATTTCATGTGTGCAAGTCTCTCTTCATACACGAAAATCTTTATTTTTCTTCTACATCTGATGGTTTTCACTTCAAATTAATGATTCTTCTATGGATTAGACCTCTATATTCTTCAGGGTATGACTCTTTAAATGTAAATCCTTAAATTTGAGGCTTGAAATCTTTATTTCAACTTGGGATTTTAACATCCTACATCTTCTCTTTTCAATGGAATACCTGTCAAAATCATGTGTTTATGCATGAAATATGAATGCAATTAAATGTATCAGTGTAATGCATTATCTTTTATGCAAATGATGTTCTCATGAATGCATAAATGTCGATTTAATCTTTATTTAACTCGAGAGTGGCGAGCTCGATCTTCTTCTATTTGATCATTCTTTCAAGGGTCAGCTTCATATACCCGTGTAGCAACTCATAATTTTCGACTTGCATTTTTTAAGATCCATTTGATCTTCTTCTCTCTTCTTGTCGACTTCGTCTTCTATCCTCATTTTTTAACCTTAGGGTTGTAGAAGACAAACTTCATCTTGGGTAATGCAACATTGATTCAACACCCT